ATAATAATATATTAAAATAATTTTATTTTATTTGAATTTAATTTTATAAAATTTTTGAAAAAAATAGAATTAGAGATGAAATTGAAAATAATTTTAGAAAAGAGAGCAAAACTGTAAATAATAGATGATATTTTTGAAAGAAAATTTGAAAATAGGAGGTAAAATTGCAAAAAAAAAAAAAATATGGCCACGTAGGACGACCACGTCAATAGCCACAGTGAATCAGGACACGCCACGTAGGAAACAAGCTGACATCGGCTCCACATGGGAGGCCACGTGGGTAATTTGCATGCCTGGGCGATCCGACGGTCCATATCGCATCCCACACACACGAACGACCCGAATCTATTTCTCCTTTAGATGCGATCAGATGGATTATATTGATCTTGATGGCCGGTCCTAATTCGCACACGCGATCAGCCTAAACAGGTAATCATCGGACGGTTTTCCTTGCTTCACATTGGCTCGAACGGACGACATGGATCGAATGAAGAGGAGTATTTAAACTCCTCTTCGCAGGGAACCTAAACCCTAGCTGACAGAGGAGTGATTGAAGAAGAAGAAGGACAGTCGGGGAAAGAACTAGACGCTGGAGAAATAGATCGGCTACCATCACTACTGCACCAAAGCCACTGCCGATGTCGAAACAAGTATTGTCTTTTCTCTTTCCGCTTAAAATTCAATTCTGAATCTCTCTATGCCCATATTGGAGCCAAAAGGCTGATAGCTTAGCTGAAAAACATGAGCGAAGCTTGACTGAGCTATCGCGGTCAAAACCCAAAACTCTCTCCGATGACCCCCTTATCGTTTCTTATTTCACATGATTTTTTGACCGTTGTGTTCTCCGTCCTTTTCTGCTGCAGGTTAGTCGAAGAGGAACCTCGACCACAAAGGAGAAATGGCGGAGCCGCTGCAACCATAGACCCTCCTTCTGGTAGGGTTCTGAGTTTTGCCTTTTTTGGCCAACAGAGGCCCCTTAACTTGGTTTTTCACAGATTTACGTATAAAATCGGCCAAAACCAGTCGAAAATAGCTAGACCGAGAGGAATCACCAGTGTGGGCGGCAGAATATGCACTAATGTAAGGCGTTGACGCCGTGTTAGAACCCTAAAATTAGCCAAAAAGTTTTAAAATGCATATTTTGTCCTTTTGGGGTATTTTTGGATACGTGACAAGTATTTTTAATTTCTGCAAAAATTGAGAAAACTTGGGGATCGGCAGAAGACACAGTGAAAAGTACAGTATTTCGGACACTGATCCGGTGTAAGAATTCCTCACTTTTTTTTCTGTTATGGTAAATTGAAATTTAATAATCAATAACGCTGTATTTTGTGAAAACTAGAAAATCTTAAAATTAATTACAGGTCACTAGTGGAGTTAGAACCAGTCAGTATATATTTTTCCTGGTCTATTATATATTTTCTCCTATACTGTCTAAAATGCTTACTCCTATATTGTGTGCTTTAATTTACTAGTTTTAATTGCTTTCTCAGTTATTTAGTTTACCTAATTGCG